CCTTTCTGGTGCTTGAAGAAAGATTGTTTGCACATTGATGCATTTTCTGCAAGAGTCGGCTAATAAATGGTTGTTTTTAATAATTTAATAACAATGTGCGTCCCTACCATGCAGTTTTGTTGTCAACTGTACCTGGAAGCAGGTTCACTGAAATGTTTGGACTTGCTGATTAAAACTCAGAACCATTTCAACTCAAACGAAAATGACTGATGTTGAAAGACCTGTTGAAGATTTAATACTGCAAAGATATTCACACGGCTCAGTTTAGCACCTCCTTGGAACAGGCCCTGGAGCTGGAGAGATGAGCACATCTACCTAGGTTTGAATAAAGATGAGATTCAAGGCTGTAGTGCAAATGAAACAGATGTTTACTGTCATTTAACGTTCTGGAAGAATTATTTGCATAGTGTTAGCGAAAACACTGGAAGAGAATATTTGCACTTCTATCTGGCTGCTGAAGTCAGTTTTGATAGTGAATACATTCCAAATTGATAAATGCTCTCCAAATATAGTTTGGATATATGTCACATGAAATGTCAGGTGTAAATAGGGTCCTGGTGTGTCTTCAGGCATCTTTTTCCCCCCTTCTCTGCTCTGCCTGAAAAGGGCGCACTCACAGTGCAAACATAAAGATTAATTTGATAGATTTTATCAAGAAGGATAAATGTTACTTTCATGATTTCATAAATCTTTCCAAGCAGCGTAGTCTGTGCTGTGCACTACCTCTCTGAGTTTACAAAGACAGCCATTGAGAAGACTTTGTAACAAGATTAATTTGGACAAATTGATTTATTTAGACTATGTCTAATTAAGTTACCCGGTTGGTATTTGGTGCTGTCTGATGCCACTCCCCCAAAATTGAGCATGATATTGGCAATGCTGTACATCCTATCTGATTACACAAAGACAAATTGTCTAATTTCGATGTTTATGGCTTTGACTAGCAACCATTAGTCTCTAATGTAACTACAAAAAAATAGTGCCATGGCCTAAAGGGCTGCCAGCTACAAGTTTGTTTTGCATAGTTTGGTGGAGCTCAGTTGTTCTTCAGTGTAAAAACAGCGTTTTGATTTCCTTCTTCACATAATACATTAAGTTTAGGTAATGGATAATAATTATGTGTGTTGTCAAATCTGTAATCTAATATGCATTTGCCGGGCTCTGGACAGGGTGCCACTCCTTTTCTAGTAAGAGCTGTGCTGCACCCTATTGAAATGTTATAAAGCAGCAGTCCTGATTTAGAGGCCGTTATTATGCCATTCACAACAAGACATAATGTTTTTTTCTAATCATCCTATATGTGATTAGGTACAGACATGTATCAGTTATCACTCCATTGCTATGCATCAGATTCACCTGCAGTCTTTTTTTCCCCCTTGAATGTATTCAAGCTGTGCTGTGAGTTTTGTGAATGACAATTCTACCTTTGCATAATGATAAGTTTTCTTTTTTTTTTTTTTTTTTAATTTATCATCACTTCAGACTTCAGTTTTGTGCTGACTGGTAGATGTCTGGCTCGAAAAGAGCTTCAGGAGTGTGTAGCGATCAGTGCATGTGTCTCTGGATCTTTTTTTATGCTTTATACTGTTACTGTGCTGTAGGGTGCTGTCATGTTTACAAGCTGTGGCAAATTGGCAAACCCAAGTTTTCCATGCAACTGTTGGAACAAAAACAGTAGTCTCCTGTGTAGTGTGCACTATCTGCAGTGTGCGACTCTGACACTTTTTTGTTTCGTTGTCACAGTAGGCAAATTTAGTCTAATTGCACATAAACAATATGAGCTACTGAAGTAAGTAATGCATTAGAAATGAGCAAATGTCATCACTGCAATACGGTATTGTCAGAATTACAATCCAAATAACCCACACCACTGTATAATGCTGATGTAGGGGTTTCTTAATGTTTTTTCCGTCGTTCCTGTCTCAGGCTACAAAATTCCCGTGTATCAGTTTTATGTTGACATTGCACATTATGCATCAACACTATTAAATGTCTCTCGAGGACATAACAATCAGTAAAAGCAGTCCTTGCTAATAAACAACCTGTATGTTAAGTATCAACATTGTTACACTGTAAAGTTGCATGCCTATCCATACCTGACTTCATACTTGACTATATAACAAGTTGATGTTGTAGTTTCCTTTTGACTGCCGTTGTTGAGTTTAAAGTGCAGTATGCAAGTTTTATACTTCTCCCGTGTGTCACAGCTCTCCAGTGTCAATCACTAATGCCTGTGATTTGTTATTAATAGTATGTTGCCTTATGGTTCTGAGCAGTATCGGTAAGATGTCTTTAATGCAGTGTCAGACCTCTTGCCCTGAATTGTTTATGGTTACAGCAGTGCGGTGTTTTACTCCACTGAATACAACAGAGGGGGGAAAGGAAATGTGCTGAATTGTTATTAGGTTGTGTACCACACTAAGTGTTACTTTGTGAACAAGCAACAAATGGCTTGGGAGTTTATTACACAAATGAACACCTTATATGGTGCATTAAGTATACAAGTGTGTGATGCTAATAATAAAATTTGCACAATTTCCTGCAGCTCTTCTCGCTGCCTTTGGAAGTAGGTTGTTTTTTTTTTTGTTACAGGAAACGTGTTTTTTTTTTTTTTTTTTTTTTTGCCACACTGGAAAACAGGTGTGAGTGCTGCGAAAACTTACCAGCCTGTAGCTGAACCAAGCAGTTGATTAAACAGGGGCAGAAGATAGTTTCATGAAGTTGCCAAGAACTGTCAATGGCACATTGCATTACAGTCCTCACCACCAGCTCCAAGGAATCCTTTGTTATTATTAGAACTAATTAAAGTAAAACCTAATTTCCTTCTAAACTCTTTAAAAGCGGTATCGTGGCTACTGATTTTATAGTGATAGTTCCAGTGAGTGGGTTAAAATGACATCATACAGATGGTCTAGTTAAATTGGTTGGGAATAACAGGCGTTGTTGCTATTTAAAAGCTGTGCAATGGTAGCCAGTTTGAAACAAAGTTTGTCCCTTGTCCATTGTCGCTGTGACACGTGGTGGAATTTAGTAATGAAACTAAAAGGGTGATATATAAATGAGTTAATGTAATATTCACATTAATTGTAGTTCGTAATATTAATTTAGGAAGTTATTTTATGAAATGTGCATACTTGTATGGTTTTGTGTCCCCAAATTGACTCTCAAGTTGTGTGATATTGCTCTGTGTTTTCATTTTTAAAGATCTGCATGGAGTCATAATCATATTTGATTAAGGAGGGACCCAGAGCTAATTTGATTAGGTTATTTAGAGGAATATGTGTTTGGTAATAAACATTTATTATGATGAAAAAGTTTACTTTAATAAGCGGGAGAAGCCCAGAGGACATGCAAGCTTAATTGTTAGATGTTAAATTGCGTTGTTGCGATGTTGCCAAGATAATGGGCAAGGAAAGGCCCTCAAGTCAAGGCAATTAACCAAACAGTGGTTTGATTGTTGTTAAATTGATTAGAAAATGTTTAAGTACTCCATTTGAAAATTAGCTATTGTTTCACGCAGTTTTAGACTGCAAGAGAATGCTGGGCTTAATGATACATACGCTCTGAGTTAGAAGTGGGAAAAGTTGCTGCCCAGGTCAAAATTTTTAGCTTTAAAGATACTGTGAGAAGTTGTGCAGCTAAGTTTAAGGCTACAGATGATGGTGAAACAAACACCTTAACATCCCTGGCAGGCCCGGTTATGCATAATGCAGGGTGAATAAAACATATTTGTTATCTTGACTTGAAATAACAGCTTTGCACAGAGAGACTGAAGCTTTGTTTTCTGTGGCTCATAGCTTTATCTCCCAACTGTTGATCAGTTGTTGCAGACAAAACTAGTGATAGATATGGCAGTTTGAGTGCCTGCTCAGTGTTGCCCACAGCGACAGCTGATGAAGATGCACAGAGAGAGGTGCAGGTTAGAGCCAATCTGTTTGCTTGCCCCGGCACCAGTAGTTTCCTGATTAGAATAGTGGAGAAATCTGCGGCTGGAGGCAGGCTTTATGGCCATCACCACCCCACATCTCCCTACTCATTAGTGCTTCACAGCCTAGCACCACAGCATATGGCAGTGCTGCTACTGCTTCCCATTTGAGGTGTGTTTCAAATGGCTGTCCCTTGCCGTGCCACAAGCCTTTGGCAGTAGCCTGTCTTATTGTGTCTGAGATGAAGATAAACATCTGTAGTAAAGAGAAGCTGTGGTTTTAATTTTGTTATATGAGCTATTTGTAACATTCTGTGAGGAAGCGAAGATTTGATTTGTAAGTAAACAGAGATAATTGAAAAGTTGTGAATTTCTTTGACTGGAGTTTTCAATACCATTTAGTGAACAAGAATGATTCAGTTGGGCCACTGTCACCACAAGAGATGCTCTTTAGAACACACAGAGATAACATAACCGTTTGGCGGTTAACTGTGCCAGGCTGTATTACATATTGCTTTGAAAGTGTGTTATTTCTGAGACGCACAAAACTATAACCAAGCTGCACTAACCTACATGTTTTCAATGGGTGTTGTGAACAGATGTGCTCATTATGTCTGTGGCTCTGGGATTATAGGTGCTTTATGATATGTCTCCTTTTATGCATTTGTTTGGAATGCGTCTTAAAGTGTGTGCGTTAGGGATGTTCACTCTTGAACACACACTTAACGCTTACATTCATAAACCTTATTATTTGGGATCATCAAGTATTGTCACATCCTACACATGTACAGTGTCCAGGATATGCTCATATCCTCACTGAAAAACAAATTATGACAACGGGCCAGTGCTAGCTGTGGTTCCAAGATATTAAGTGCCATAATTTATGTATTTTCTGGTGTTTACAGCTCTAATTGTAAATTGTAAACTTAATTTGGATTCTGAGAGGATAATGAGACAGTATCCAGAGGACACTGTTGATGTGAGCGCACCTCCGATGGGATACATACTGTGCACTTTGCGGTGTTGTCATTTTCTGTTGGATCCTGTTTTTCACACTGTGCCCTCCCTCCAACAGAACATACACATAAAAACATTGGCCGATGATATGGTAAGGTGCTTGGTTTAATTTTGGTGTGACTAGATTTGTTTGACATCATCTCATGTTTTGTCATGGCTGCATGGGACTCATAGCTGAAATATGTGGATGGATCAAACATGCCAAAAGCAAATTCATTAGATTCATATTGTAACCAAACAGATCATGAAGACAGGTCACATGTAGTGTTAATATATGATGTGACAGTTACTATACAGAGGCTGAGCTTAAACCTGTCTCACTTATTGTTGCACTGTGTAAATAAATGATTTTTCATGGTGCTATTATTTAGCACCATGGACATCCTACATTTTTCATAATGAACAAAATTCAGCCCATGGCATCTAGACTTTTATAAGCAGCTCATAGATCATTTAGTGTGCAATTATCAGTAGCACTTCCGATTAGATGTTTTTGCCTGGGGGCTTTTTAATACCCTTAGTTAACAAATAGCCTAAATTCTACATTGAGAAGCTCATGCTGTGTTTGTATTAGCGCACAGTATGTTTGATCCGTCCAGTAATATTTCAACCAACTGATACTAGTGTCATCATGTATGTCATCATGTCATGTTTGTCTTTCCATTTCATTTATGTGTTCATTCATTCAGCATGCCCTCTCCATTCAGTTTTACTAAACATGACTAACATTAACTGGTTGCATGTACTTTTTTTGCTTCCCCACTAAACTTTACTACACTGCATTCATCAGAATAATCTCAAATGATGAATTTCACAAGGAAATTCGACTGAGCCTCACTGACGTTATTAAAATGAGCTGAAGTTGTTGTTGTATGCTAAAACTGCTCTAATACCATGAGGATAAACAAGGTAATCCTATGGGTGTGATGGTAAGTAAAGTCCTGATAAGATTCATACAGTATACTGTGTCAAATACATGTATGGTACTAGAATGTTGGACATTTTATCTTTAGTTGTTTAAAATCTATTGGAAATTGAAAAACCATTTTTCAAAACTGTGTAAAAATGCTCTTGTTTTGCTTTTTTTTTGGGTTTTTATCCTCACTCAAGGTTTCAGATAATGTCAATGTTTGTCTGATTGTCAGTCTAACACAGGCTATATATACAGTACAGGCCAAAAGTTTGGACACACCTTCTCATTCAATGCGTTTTCTTTATTTTCATGACTATTTACATTGTAGATTCTCACTGAAGGCATCAAACTATGAATGAACACATGTGGAGTTATGTACTTAACAAAAAAAGGAGAAATAACTGAAAACATGTTTTATATTCTTGTTTCTTCAAAATAGCCACCCTTTGCTCTGATTACTGCTTTGCACACTCTTGGCATTCTCTCGATGAGCTTCAAGAGGTAGTCACCTGAAATGGTTTCCACTTCACAGGTGTGCCTTATCAGGGTTAATTAGTGGAATTTCTTGCTTTATCAATGGGGTTGGGACCATCAGTTGTGTTGTGCAGAAGTCAGGTTAATACACAGCCGACAGCCCTATTGGACAACTGTTAAAATTCATATTATGGCAAGAACCAATCAGCTAACTAAAGAAAAACGAGTGGCCATCATTACTTTAAGAAATGAAGGTCAGTCAGTCCGGAAAATTGCAAAAACTTTAAATGTGTCCCCAAGTGGAGTCGCAAAAACCATCAAGCGCTACAACGAAACTGGCACACATGAGGACCGACCCAGGAAAGGAAGACCAAGAGTCACCTCTGCTTCTGAGGATAAGTTCATCCGAGTCACCAGCCTCAGAAATCGCAAGTTAACAGCAGCTCAGATCAGAGACCAGATGAATGCCACACAGAGTTCTAGCAGCAGACCCATCTCTAGAACAACTGTTAAGAGGAGACTGCGCCAATCAGGCCTTCATGGTCAAATAGCTGCTAGGAAACCACTGCTAAGGAGAGGCAACAAGCAGAAGAGATTTGTTTGGGCCAAGAAACACAAGGAATGGACATTAGACCAGTGGAAATCTGTGCTTTGGTCTGATGAGTCCAAATTTGAGATCTTTGGTTCCAACCGCCGTGTCTTTGTGAGACGCAGAAAAGGTGAACGGATGGATTCCACATGCCTGGTTCCCACTGTGAAGCATGGAGGAGGAGGTGTGATGGTGTGGGGGTGTTTTGCTGGTGACACTGTTGGGGATTTATTCAAAATTGAAGGCACACTGAACCAGCATGGCTACCACAGCATCCTGCAGCGACATGCCATCCCATCCGGTTTGCGTTTAGTTGGACGATCATTTATTTTTCAACAGGACAATGACCCCAAACACACCTCCAGGCTGTGTAAGGGCTATTTGACCAAGAAGGAGAGTGATGGAGTGCTGCGGCAGATGACCTGGCCTCCACAGTCACCGGACCTGAACCCAATCGAGATGGTTTGGGGTGAGCTGGACCGCAGAGTGAAGGCAAAGGGGCCAACAAGTGCTAAACACCTCTGGGAACTCCTTCAAGACTGTTGGAAAACCATTTCAGGTGACTACCTCTTGAAGCTCATGGAGAGAATGCCAAGAGTGTGCAAAGCAGTAATCAGAGCAAAGGGTGGCTATTTTGAAGAAACTAGAATATAAAACATGTTTTCAGTTATTTCACCTTTTTTTGTTAAGTACATAACTCCACATGTGTTCATTCATAGTTTTGATGCCTTCAGTGAGAATCTACAATGTAAATAGTCATGAAAATAAAGAAAACGCATTGAATGAGAAGGTGTGTCCAAACTTTTGGCCTGTACTGTATGCCAAAGAAAAGCAGCAAATCTTCACATAAAACAAACCAAAATCAAACAATGTTATGTTTTGCTTTAAAAAACCGAAATGATTAATTGACTATCAAAATGATAGTCTATCAGCAAAGCTTTATATTTAGACGAAATCCAGGTGAGATAAAAAGCCCTCCTCCAATGACAAGTGTGTTTGATAACGTAGTCAAGCCAAAGATTTGTGTTATCTTTTTTACCGTTAAACGTTGTAGAGCAATGAGCAGAGTCAAGGGTGAGCAGGTACACTTGAGCTGCGGGCAAGCAAGCTCACATTTCCTCCTTTGCCTCTCTTCACCCGAGTTACCCATCTGGCTGTCATCACTCCCTCTCTTTCTTGCATTTGGCAGCTGGATGAAGGGGTGGAGCTGTCCTCCACATTCTTTGTGCGGCCCACATCCTCCTCTTCATCATCATCCACCCGAATATTATCTGACCTGTTCAAAGTGAGCCGTCTGAGTTATGAAATGATTCTGTGCGCCCTTTTCCTTTGTCTTGTCACGGATGTGTCCCGCCGCCACATTCTCTTCACTGATTCTTGGTCAAACGTTTCTAAAGGCTTTTGACAGGTGCGAAAAACGCAGAAAATCAAACCTGTTCCGAACATTTTAGTGACGGACAAAAGTTCTCAGTGTGCGAACATGATTGACACAAGGTGAGGTCGTATTTATTTTTAGACGTGTGACAATTTTGGACGAAAAACACAGACTTGGGTTGCAAAGGACAGTTTGTAAGACAGCAGACTGTTTAAGTAGTTTACCTTGTGATCCAACAAAGGGCAGCTCGAGCTGTTGCACGCCCTCTTGACCTCTCAGTAAACTAAGCATTAGCAAAGATGCTAATGTTCTTTGCCACAAAAATGGAGGACACTGGTGAGCAAAGCCATTCTGAGCTGGCAATAATGACACCAAAGCAGTGTGTGGAGGTATTATGTGTTCTACACCATAGATGGAAAAGTAACTGAGGCTGTTAGTTGACTTTGTACAACCAGTCATCTAACTCTGCAATGAAAATAAAATCTGTGGACTCGCGTGATAACATTAGCTTGCCACCCAAGTGAGGCAGCAGAGGCACCACAGGCCGGCGGAGTCATAGCAGATGTACAACCTCGTCCGACTGCTTACTATTTGGCACACTTAGCTTCAGCAGGCCGCTTGCCAGAAGCTTGAAAAATGCCATCACTGCCAAGATAGCAAGAATTATATGCAAAGATTTGGGGCCCACTGGTTTTGTGTCAAGAGAGGGGTTTCACAATCTCATGATGGAGCTGGAGCCATGATATAAAACTCTAAGTCACAGCACAGTGACAAAATGCATAGTGCAACTGTATGACTCCACATGGGAAAAAATAAAGAACATATTAAAGGATAAGACACTCAGTCTTGGAATTAATTTGGATGAATTGCGTGTCATTTCAGATTTGTTCGATTTTGATTTTTGGGAAAAGTGACAGCCCTAGCAGGGACTAATTTGCATATTTATAGATCCGCGTTTACTAAGTGAGGAAAAGGTGTAGTTACATGTGAGTCATTTTAAGGCATGAAGGGATGTTTTTCATGGAGAGAGCTTCTGAAATATGTCATTCTGACAAACAGACGCGTTTGTAGGAATTTAATTAATGCCAAGAGAGGAACTTAAGAGCACTGAATTACACTTAGTCACATAGATGTGTCTCTGTTGGCCCAATCTCAAATCTAATTACAGTCCGCCTCGGTTTTTCCCAGGCTTCATGCAAATCATGGTCAGCCCTACTCCGGTCCAGAGGCTGCTGGTAATGCATCTGAAGCTGTTTAATAACCGCCAAATCGCCAAGTGATGAATAACTTATGCACTTTGGCAGTGCGGTTACAACAACAGTTCAGCTAGCGCTAGCTAACAGCTATCCATAAGCTAACAGAAGTGCACGATTAATTGCATTCATGTGCAAAGTGTCGACTTCATGGGCTCTTACTCATTCTGCTCCCACAACACACACACAGATCAAAGCCCTCTCACCCACGCAGACCATTCAGTAGTAGAACTGATCAGATAAATGTTGCAACAGCTCCGTGCACCTTCTGTATGATCGTATGTGTTGAAATCACTGGAGTCATTTGGTGATGAAATTAGCTGTCAACAGGGAGAGCCACAGCTAATGTCAGTGTAACTTGAGCTGCCATTATCACAGGGGGAGAACGTGGGGGGCGGGGGGCAGATGCTGTGAGAGGAGGATGTTTCCACAGACCGCTCACTGATGTAGTTACAGTCGGGGGTAGTAAAGCTTACATTTACGGTTTGTTTTTTAACATCTGGCTACAATCTGGATCTGATTACAGAGGTCAAAGTTTAAGAGGTCTATTTAAGGGAAGTATAAACAGGGTCTAATCAATGAACAGAATAATTGTCTTGAGCTACGGGGTGGTTGCTGCTTCCTGTTTGGTCGTATTCTTTCACTTCACTTTAGGGGGTCTAGTTTTCCTTAGAAGTCTCTGAGAGGAAATCCCCAGTGATGTTTTTCTTCTTCACTTTGAGGAAAGTGAAGTCTGTGACGGCGTTAGAGTTTTGTGCAAGGCATCTTTACAGCAGACTCCTTCAGCAACTACATGGGGCTCATGATGGACTTTGTCTCACTCCCTGATGGATACTACTATCCTGTTACATCGTTGAGGCCTTACTATTAGGAGCTTTATGACGAGCCAACTTTTCAACGAACTAATTAAACTCCTTTTAATGCTATATCCTGCCTCCTTGTCCTGTTGCATTTGGAAATTGGTCAAAATACTGAAGCTAGATACTCACGAAACACCATTTCATCTGGACTTCAATGAAGATAGTTGTTAGTTGCAGCAATGCTTTCTAGTTTTTTAAAACTTTTATTTAACCAGATACTATTGAGGTGGATTTTGCAAGGGAGATCTGGCCTAGACCATGTTATTCAAAAGCTGCAGACACAACAAAACAACACCAGACAGTGGATAAAAGGATACTAAAACAGATAATACTGTAGCAAGCTGAAAACAGTGATAGAAAAATATATCAAATCCCTTTGAAATTCCTTTTGTAGAGTTTTGTAAACACTAAGGCTCTTTCCAGTCTCTGTCAACTCGTGGTACAGACAGCAGATATATGTCCTCTGATGTAAAAGTAATGATTTTAACATGAACTCTGTGAAATCACTTTTCACAGATATATAGGGAGTTTGCCCAGAGTGGCTTTAGGAATAGAAATATAGCAGTGACTCAGTCAACATATGGACAAAGATGCACAAGCACACATGTTGAGCCCTGAAGGCACACGCTGGCTGAATGCAGAGACAGTCATGGTTTGGCCTGTCTCCCACTTAAAGCTGTAATATTTGGGGTCAGCAGTTAACCCTTGCTGTGAATGTGCAACAGAGATGTGTATATTCACACCACACGGAGGGGGGAGGGGGGGGGTTTGCTGTGGTGTTTTTCCTATTTTAAGCAAGAGGGGTTTAGGGCATCAGATGTTCTGCTCTGTGTTGCTGCCACTGCAGGTATTTCTCATGGCTCTAGTCAACCATACCGCCATTAGAGAAAAGATGAACCATTGAAATAACTGCAGTGACCTCCATTCTGAAAGCTGACAACAAGATGACAACGCCTATATCCATGATATTTTGGCTTCATTCTTGTATAATGGGAAGAAGTGGAAGTGCATCATCCATCTTTAAATACAGTCATTAGTCACTATTGGTCAGTGAAGCTGACATGGCATTTGATGAGCAAATTCTCATCTCTTCGAATTGCTGTCCACAAAATATCCCAACTCTCAATAGTGACTGCTCCTGTATCGCCACCCTCTGGCCAAATAATGACACCTGACATGTTCACCAAAGAATTTAATGATTTTACCTCGTGCGCCACCTACAGGCCAAACATTAACATTTTTACCCAATTAGTGACAAGGGTGTCTTTTTGGTCATTCTAATAATTTTGTTTTCTGGTTTGCAATGAGGATTACAGCCTCAATGGTCCCACCTTTGAGACTACCGACTTTATGTCAATACCTCTTGTCTTTATAAATAGTTACAGCTAGTCTTAATAACATGCTTGCACCGTCATGTAGTGGTTAGTCGTTGCTCTGTGTTCACCCTGTGCTGTACAGCACTTCACAATGTAGTACTGTGTTAAGAACAAGACTTGGGTGTGATCAGGTGTAGCCAGTTGAACATGTTGGGAGTGGTTAGACAGCAACAGACTTGAACCGTTAAGTCAACAGAGGTCAGTGTAGCAATGCTTCTTGTCCATACAAGACTGAGTGTGGGAGTGCTCTTCTAGCTGATCTGAAGCAAAATCAGCATCTCTTTTGCATTTTATTCCCTGTTCTTTCACTTTTGTCAGCAAACATACACTCTGAGCTGTTCTCGCCATCAGAGGATCCTGTTCACTGTAACAGTGTCCTCTGAAAGCAGGACACAGAGCAACTCTTTGATGTGTGGGAACATGAAAATCTGGTTACAGGCAGTTAACACCAATTTTTTTTTCAGTGAAAATTGAAGTTAACCCAAAAAACAGTGAGGCTTATACTTGGCCTAGTCGTTAGCAGTGCCATATTTTAATGTTTCAAACATTCTGTTTTCTTTCAGCGTGATCGTATCACCAGCTTCAGGAAAACAGGGATGAAGAAGGAGAAGCCCCTTATACAGCATCCAACAGACCCCCTCTCTACCCAGACTGAGCTACCAGTTCCTCAGCCCCTCTTTGACGACCGCTCCATGAACCTCTCAGAAAAGGAGATCATTGACCTCTTCGAGAAGATGATGGTGAGCTTTGTATTTCTCTTGCAGCGTTACCCCTCCGGAAGGTCATCCGTAGCCCTCCACAACAGTTTTATTACAGCTGCCACAGAATAATAAATAATGAGTATTCTATTATGAAATCTTAAATTGATTCATAAATCTGTGCAGAGGGGCGCACAAGTAGTGAAGCAGAGCTGCTGATGTGCATGTTGGTCAAGAGAAGTTTGACAAGACAGAGAGTTAAGTTTGAAAAGCATTTTCATGTTAATGTATTAGCCACAAATCTACATGATTTTTGTTTTGTGAAAAAAGCTACAAAGGATGATAATGACATCAGTGCTTTTTACAGCTTTCCTAGTTTTATGCAACATCTTAAAATTGTTTTTTATTTACTATATAATTTGTCCTGAAAAATTCTCCAATCAAGATATCATGGTTTAGAGTTCTTTTAACGAAATGAATAAATGTAATTTTACCGAAATGTATCACAGCATTAGAAGTGAAACCAGGATATGATGTTCACCTTTGCACATTCTACATGTATAATCCAAGACCCGACATGTACATGAGCAAACAAAGCTCCAGTACATGTGATTTTAGACACACACAGCTGTGATCAAAAACAAGGCTGAACTTCATCTGTAGATTTATAGAGATTGTGTTTAAAAAGTTTAATTATGACATAGGTTAGAAAGTCATCCGTACTAAGTAGGGCTGCAACTAACGATTATTTTCATTGTCGACTAATCTGTCAATTATTTCTTCGATTAGTCGACTAATCATTTCATCAAAAAATGTGTTAAAATGACGGTCTGTCTCTCCAAACCCCAAAATAATGTCATCTAATGTCCTGTTTCGTACTCACGCCAAAGGGTTTTAGTTCACTGTCATAGGAGAGTGCGAAAAGCTGCCAATATTTGAACGTAAGAAGCTGCAATAAGAGTATTTTGGGGTACTTTTATAGTACTTTTCTATGAAAAATGACTCAAACCGATTAGTCAACTACTAACTCATCGATTAGTTGATTAATCGTTGCAGCCCTAGTGCTAAGTATCCCAATGTACGATTGAAAACCACTAATGTAACTGCAGTGGTTTTTGAAATGGTGTAAATATTATGTAGGTTAAAGCCCCCACAAATCAATACTTGGGCGATGGCACTCACAACTAATTGCCCAGTCGTAGCAACATATCCAGAAAGCAGTGTACACAGCTCCCATGGTGGCATGAAACAGTGCCCTCTCATGGGGTTACACAGGACCTCTTCTTTGATGACAGACCCTGACTTGAGGCACAAACTGTATGAAATAAATTCACGAATATATGATTCAAAGTTTCATTTTCGGGGGCTGTACAACGCTACAGCAATTTCACCTAAATATAGTATCCAGTGTATATTTAATGCATCTGAAATAGGCTTGAAATATGCACAGTTTATGTACACTATTTATAGTGAAGTTACATGCGTTTTGCACTCAGATGTTAAACTTTTGTGAAGCCTGGTTCCGTCTACGTATTCCCTAGGCCACTGTGAGAAGATCATGAAACTTTGAAATTCACTTCGCACTCATCTGTGGGGTCAAAGCTCTGTCACACTTGTGATTTTCTCCATTGAAATGCATTTTTGGCCTTATGTACTGCAGGATTGAAATCTAACAAAAAGCTTTCAGCCCATCTCTTTGAAGTGGGGAGCTGAATTACTCTGGCTTCATTGCATAGGTTGTGTGTACTATTGTAGATAATGTCTCTGAGTGTGTGTGTGTGCTAGGTACGGTGCCTGCCTTTCCTTTTTTCTCATACAATGGTCTTTATTGCCAGGGCCAGAGAAATGCGACCAGTGCTCCTGGTTTTCATCAGGCTACTGCTCAGTGTTTTCTTGCCTGGGTGCTCATCCCTGTCACTCAGTTCACCTCTCAATTACTATGTTTGTGCTCACAGCGGCGTGACATTAAACCCAGGCTTCAATTTGCTCAGTGACAGACGACACAGAAAGCATGTTTGCTGGTCTGACATTTGACAGGCCTTGACACTTCGAGTTGGGAAGTATAATTACAGTAATGAAATCAAAAAGAAAAGGGTTATTTACTTATGTACTTTTGAAGCCACCACTATTTGCTCTCATAGACTGTAAACTTTTCTGCTTTGATACAGCAAACATAGAAATGACAGTGGTGGGTAGTTTCTTTTGATGCTAGTAGATTATTTTCAGTGTCTTTCTCTGTCATCTCTCTATCTTGTTTTGTTATACACACACACACAGTTAGTTGCACTGGTTGTCTTTACACCCATTCTGTGATTGATTGTTTTTATGGTGCTACATGCCACAGCCTCAGATGTCTAGCCTGCTTCAAATGAAGGGATGACCCCTGCCATATTAGCGAGACCACCTACTGTGCATTAATGACTAGGGGAAAGTGAAAATATTTTTCTCTGGAAAGTGGTTGAGACATTGCGCTTTGTATCTCAAAGCCTAAAAAGCACATAGCCTATTACTGAAAGGTCATCAAAGGGATCAGGGAAGATATAGGAAGAAACACTTGGGTGGGAGTTGTGAGGAAAACCAAATGAACTCTTTCTAGAATTTTTTGAAGCCAACCATTGAGAGGGGAAGTATATTCATAAAACTACAGTGATGAAAATGCATGGGGGAAAAACACGTTTACTTTCAGCAGTGGCTTTAGAAGGGTATAGTGTATGTCTTTACTCTGTGTGTCCTGCCGTTGGATTTCCCAAGATGTGCACAGATGGAATTCAGAGCCCCTCATCAAAATGCACAGCAGTAAATCCGCTGATGAAATGTCCGGTATTTGCATCTCACTAAGGAGGCAGCTGTGTTGCAGTAGCAGACTCCAATCCAAGAAGTTCAACCTAGGAACACACAATAAACGTGAACTAATTTAATCAGCACGCAGTAAGCTGTAAAACCTTTACACTAAACTTTGGTGTAATGCAAACCCCTTCCATCATCAGTTTATTGTCCAGGCCATTAAAGTAAATCGGCATGCACTGATTGTAAAAGTTTGGACTCCTGTTTTGCTGTCAAAACATCAACAAATTCTTCTTCAAATAAGTGTATTCATTTCTCACCAAAACCTAAATTACAAGATGACATTTGAACACATCATGAGAACGTTATAATTTACCTTCGCCCAATACTTCTCTGTTCTTCCCAAAAACGTTTTATGTTGCCCTTGGATGCAGTTAGTCTCAAGTCCTGCTTTTTAGCCTGTACAAAACTGAGGTGACACAACAGAAGAACATCAACCACTGCCATCTAGGGCTGTCAAAATTGCTCAAAAGTGACGTTCGAATATTCCTTCTAAAAATAACTCACAGGTTCGAACCATTCGAATATTTGTTTTTTTTGCATTATGTCCACAAGAGGGCAAACTAATACAAGGAAACATACTTGTATAAGTATTAATACAAGGAAACATAACTACTTGTAGGTATTTTTATTTCAACATAAACGTCTTTGAAAACATTTACATACCTACACGTTAAAAGACAAAACAATTATCTATAACATTACGTTATAAACGACCCCGGACCTCTCGCTCGCCCCCCCCTCTCTGACCCGTGGCCACACCGCCCACGGAAGCTCTGCAAATAGCCTCGAAGCGCCGGACCGTGACCGGCTCGCACCCTGCAGCGATCGTTTCGGCGTCTGGTCTATTTTCTGCGCGAGCCGCGAGTGAATGTGTCAAGCCGGGTGATGGAGACAACAGCTGGGAGCAGAACCGCTTGTCGACCAGCGTGGAGAAATGCGCATCTGATGCCAACGCCCACTCGCAAAGAGGACAGCTGCGGTGGTGTGTTTTTTTTTTCTCCACAAATATCAATTTTCACATTCGAAGGTCCATTTTTTTTTTTCAAATTCGAATTTAAATTTGAATTTAGAATATTTGTTGACAGCCCTACTGCCATCAGTGAATGTCTGTGTGAATCTTATTTGCCAATCATGGCAGTCAACAAGGCGAATATGAGCTGATTAATTGGTGCATCCCTGTAAGGAAAGCAGAAGTTGGATATCTAGTGAGGTCAGATTCATGAACTTGTCGTCTCCATCCAGACAAAAATCTCCCTGTTGGCGTGAAGTGGTGTCAAAAGTTGCCACAACTTGGCATTTTGAGATATTATTACTCAAATTATGCCTTTATTTGTCTGTCAGCGCAAAAGCCCTCAAGACCATCACACTGTTACTCACGATTCATTGAATTGTTTTGATTCCAGTGCCAATTTGTCTCCGTTGTCTTTCAATAGAAAGTGTCTTCTCATTGTCTGGCGTAGTGTATGGTACTGAGGTGCTCACAGAGAAGGAGGACCGGTGAAAGAAGGATGTCACATTGCAGTGCTGCTGTGGCCAGTTTGAGGTTTTATGTGCCTCTCTATGCACCATTGTCAGGATGAACACTCCTAGTAATAAGCTCCTATGTGATCCCTCAGCAGTTGCACTCTGCACCAGGACATTAAAACCAGCCCACAAGAGAGTTACTGTGTGTGCCCTTGCACACCCATGGATCAGACTTGAGGGTAGTGGAGGAAATAATCCATTTGTCACAGTTGAAGCAAAACATTTTTATACGTCTTCTACTTTTCTTAGATCCACTTTTCCCCATAGCGCGGAGTCTTCATATCCATTTCAGGCTCAGACATATTTGATGCTAGCCATTAATTGCTCTTTTCTATTATTTGGAGCCTGTGGCGCTCTGAATTAGGCGGTGTTTGCAGCCACATTGCACCACAGGATTTTGGAATTTTTGCCCATCTCCTAATATTTATGTACAGGGTAGTCACTAAGTAAGACATGGACATACTGTATATTATATTGTTTTGTCTCTGAAACCCATGCATATCAAATTTTAAACTCAACAATGACTATGAAGTTAGGGTGCTTACTTATACATTAGATTAGCCATGTAAGAATGGTATCACTTTTATACATTGTCCCCGAAATTTGGGCTTAAATGAAGTCAACATATTTAATATTTGGTTGCAGATCCTTAGCACTTAGTGACTCCCTACAGTCTGTGATCCGAGGACTTCAGCATATGCTTGGTCCTTTCCTGGTAATGTGCCGCCAGGCCTGTCATGCAGCCATCTTCACTTATTACTTGTTTTGCAGGCTGGTCCTTAGTGAGTGAAACACCTGCTCAGTTGGATTGAGGTGGCTGACTTAGCCAGTCAAGAACATGGTTGCCTTGGCTGTATTCAGGATTATTGTGTTGCTGCATTGTTCCAAAACTCAGGGGGGACATATATTTAAAAGGGGGTACAATTCCAATTACAAGTCTGCACATCCAATAGGGATGTGAACATTGTCAGACACCCTTACAGCTAGAAGTCAGCTCATTAACCTCAGCCATTGTTTCATTTCAAATCCAGTGTGCTGGAGTACAGAGTCAAAAGAACTGAAAACAGTGTATTACTGTCCTGCTTCTTATACGCTAGGGATGCACAGATTTATCGGCTGATAGTTGCCTGCTTGACTGCCATTGGCCTAACAGCAAATGATAATATAATAATGCATTGCATCAATTTTGTGCTGACTAAAAAGCAGGTGTCTTCTGTGGACAATAGAAAACGTGATTAGGATGAACAGAAATCTTCCCCAGGCTGCTTTTGGGACAAAAGGATGCAGTAAACTCGCTATCAGCGTGTCAAGAGATGCGCCCCATTTCTTCCCTCATGGTGCCAAGTTGTGAACAACAAATCTATGGTGAAATCAGAAGCAGAGCTAGATGACGTGTACTGTTAGCAGCCGGTGGTCAGGACTAACAGCTAACCGAGGTTGTATTGAGTGACATTACGATGGGTTCAATCTCTATTCAGTAAAATTGAGTATTGGGCAAATGAAAATTATGACATCATGATGTGTTCAAATGCAATCTTGTAACATTTAGTGTTTGGCGAGAAACTTGAATACAGTTTTTTGAAGAAGACATTTGTTGATATTTTCACAATACTATAGAGGGAATTGTGATATATTATTTAGTGTAAAACAGCTTTTGAAACAGTAATTTCTGCTTTAAAAATATTTTTTTCAAGTTAAAGGTTATATTAAAGGTTGTTTCATAATTTTGTATGACTTAAGTTGGGCTCATTCAAAGATAGTTCAATAAAGGGCTGAATGACATCAAAACAGATTTCGTTTCCCTGGCATGAACAAGGTAGTCAATAACAAAAACTAAATTAATAAAAAAACAAAAAAAAAAAACCAACAGTCAGCTTTCTGCCAAATTGTTATTTTAAACATTGGTCCAAGGCCAGAATTTAACAATTGGCACATTCTTTTCAGGGCTGTAATTAATGATTATTTTCATTTTTGACCAATCTGCTCATTATTTTTACTATTAATTGATTAATCATTACCAAAAAATTGTGAAAAATGCTCATTACAATTTCCCAGAACCCACAGTGACGACTACAGCTTGCTTCTTTTGTCCAAACAACAGTCCAAAACCTAAAGACTCTTCTTTTAATATTGAAAATGAAAATGAAAAGCAGCAAATTCTCACATTTAAGAAACTGGAACCAGCAAATGTTTGACTGTAACAATTAATGGAATATACATATCCTATATTATACATACACAGGATGACAGTCTGCTGGGATGGACAGTTTTCCTTAAACTTGTGTCCATGATACTTGATTTGCCAAGTGTTGAAGAAAGGGATTATTTTTTGCATAAAGCAAGAAAAGTGGAAAGAGATTAGCATTAGAAGAGCTTGCCAGACCGACATGAGACAACAAGATGTATAACGTTTTTCTTGGTAACGCCACTGTCATTGATACAAGTTCAAATCCTATCATTTCAGTTATACCAGCAGCATAGTCGAAGATATCCTGGGACTCATTTTATGTAGCCTGTGAGGGTATAATTAATAAAAGAGCATTAATCATTTTGGAGACTAAACGTGGAGGGCTCATTCCTCCAGTCTGCCCCCTGACAAGCATCCCGCAGGCCCACTACTCCTACCCCTCCTACAACATACTCACCCCGCCACATTATGCCTCGTTTATTGAATGCCAATTAAGCAGATAAATTAGCAGGGTTCAAAGATTAATTAAAAAACCTGCTGGTTTCCTTCGGTGAAAAAACCTGCCAATTGTAAAACTTTCAGCCACATTTTTTCCCTCCCTGCTCCACAAAAAGGATGTTAATGGTTTTTTCGCTCCGAGGGTATTTACTAGAGGAAATGTAGTTGGAGGAATTTAGGTCACGGTGCCCCTGGATGGGATTCCTGTCCATGCCTCACTGACAAATGGAGCAAAACAGTTTGAATCAGATTACTTGGGCTAAGATATTCAACCCATTGTATTACAGTGGTTTTATTTAGAAGTGACACACTTAATATATCAGGTGAATTTCACATTCACCATTAAGACCGCATGCAACATATGCGTGTATGTGTCGGATGGTGGGGAATCACTGCCAAATCAGATCAAGCAAACGAAAGGACACATGAGTTTCTGCACTCCCCAGCAGAGGGCAGCATGGCTCCACAACTTAAGGCTCACTTTCCTAAAACCCTGAGGAGAATGTTTTTTCTCTCTGTTCATTCTAGCCGTCTCTTTGTGAGAGAGTGCTTCTGATAAACATCCCCCTCCATTCTAATCATCATGTCATTCCCTAGCTTTTAGTGCTCTGTCCGGCCTTCGTTCCATCCCCTGATGTCTCTCACATGAAAGACCTCTTTTGTGATGCAGAATTAAAGTAGCACGAAGATAATACTCCCAATAACACACAGATCCTGCCTATCCAGCCTATCTGATGTGATTGCATGGCCTCAATAGAAGCAGTGTTGTTTGGCTTTGCTCTCTTGTTTGGAATTGGGGTGCACAGTTTATATTGCCGTGGCCTTGCTTCTTTCGTTTTTAGGACTAATTATTACTGACCATATTTCCTGCTGATGTACCTTATGACTTTGACAAAGAAACGTGGATGGAAAGTAATTTTATTCAGCAGCAAGAAAGCAGGATCTAATGTAAAAGGGTTACAGTGGAAATAAAAGTATAATTGTTGGTAAGTTGGATACATTTCTTCTTTTTTAAAGATATTTTGTAGGGCATTTTGCCTTTATTGGACAGGACAGGTAAGTATGAAGGGGGGGGGAGAGAGAGAGAGAGAGTGGGGATGACATGCAGCAAAGGGCCACAGGCTGGATTCGAACCCGGGCCGCTGCGGCAACAGCCTTGTACATGGGGTGCCTGCTCTACCACTAAGGGTATGTTCTTAATAAGTTTCAGTGTACACCTTCCATAGATTTGATCACTTGCTTTCATTTTCTAAGACTAAACCCCCCCCCCCCCGCAAATTTACCTTCATTCTCTGTAATTGTGTTGTACTCAGTTTCAGTAGTACCCAGTGTCTGCCATTACTTAAAGTTTGTTCTCACTGTCTTTGTGTATTTAGGAGGACATGAACCTGAATGAGGAACGCAAAGCCCCTCTGCGTGGGAAGGACTTGAGCACCAAACGCGAGATGGTGGTCCAGTACATCTCAGCCACTGCCAAATCTGTAAGTGGGAGAGTTAAACCAAGAGCTCCTTTTTTTCTACTGAAGACTGTGTACTGTATAATTGTAGTGGATGAGCTGAAGTATCGTGACACTCCACACGACTCTTCAGAATGAGTTTAACCTGATCCTCTGCTTTATTGCTTGCTTTGTCATCTGTTCTTGCGCACCCTCACTTATGTTGTCACTTTCTCTCCACTCTTCATGCTTGAGTCACACATCTTTGATTGCAATTTTGATTATTTTCATTATTTCTCCCCATTGTGCCACAATCTGCCGTTTAGGCTATCAGATTTAAATTGTCACTCACTCACTAAATGCTAGGTGGATGGTCAGTGCTTGTCCAGTCATGTTCTTGCATGCAAATTGTTGGTTGTCCAGTGGTGTTCTTGCATGTAAGTTGTCTTTTTTTGCCCAGTGGTTGCGGTGCCTTGCCTCATCATTAGCTTATTGAGTATGAAAATATGAAGTTCAGTCAGCCTCTCTCAGCAGCAGTATTACAGTAAAAAGTACAACCACCAAATACAAGAGTGAGGAAAAGCAAGCATTTTGGGCTATGTTCAGCATGAGCCTATGAGAAATTTCAGCGTTGTATATGCTACATTATTACCAGCTACACCACACACTTTGGGCCCTATTTAAACGATCTATAGCGCATGGTCTAAAATGCATGGCGCAAGTGCATTTAGGGCATGTGCAACTCCACCTTGCTAGTTGAACAGCATATAATCTGGGTGCAAAGGAGTTGTATAGTCCCTTAATTAATCATAGGTGTGTTTTGGATGTTACTAAAATTCAATTTATCAGTGTCATCTTCTATTTCCTCTAAAAGCCAGGTGTGCCTGCACCTGTTGCGTTGCTGTTTACATGGCAGATTCAGTAAATTGGAAAAGCAAGTGGTTTTCTTCTCAGATCAATGCAGTAAGAGCAGTAATGTCATTACAGCAAACATTGTGGGACATTTAAGCCGCAAAACAGCAGAGGAAAAACAAAACTTTTAGCTTCTGAAATAAAGTACGGGTAGTGTCTCTCTTAACAGGGAGTCGGACAGTAGCTCTGCAACTCTGCTCTTGTTGGTCAGTGGTGCAGTCGCTCTCTGCGGTCTCAAAAAGAAAAAGAACTGCAAACAATGCTCCTGACCGCACCTCATGGGCGCACAGATTGGCACAAGTGCATTTGCTTCTTTTACAATGTGGCCGCTGGCCATGAAAATGACAAGTGTCAGTCTGAAAGTAGCGATGACAGTTGCACTGCGCTGTGCAAAGAAAGTTTTGTTCTGACTGCTTCATAAAATAACATTTAACAGTTGTTTAGACTGTTCATTTGAAAAAATGGTGTAGAATAAAGTTGCCTATTCTTGGATAGTAATCTAAAAATTGATCATCTCGCTAATCCAAAAAGTGTATAATCCATAAGTGTATGATGAAATCTCCTATCCTCTTTTGAAGTTATGGCCAACCTTGTGAGGTGAAATTCACATCAGCACAGAATAAAAAAGTGATTTCTGCCCCCATTGCTTCCAGAACCTGGTAGCTCTCTCTTGACATCATCATTTATTACCTTCCTCATTGTTATGGTAATTAACTGGCATTATTGATAATGATGATTATCCGAGATGATTGAATTCCTCACAGGGCCCATTATGCTTTGTGAGCACTGATATTTTATTCAAATGAATAACGTAATCTGTGTAGTCAAAGGACAGAGGACAAAATGTAATGTCTGTCAGCACCCCACTATCACATTAAATAGGACTGAAGGAAGGAGGATGGTTGAGTGTCAGGGATGATGTATCTGTACATACACAGATTCATGCAAGTGAATACAGTTACACTAGAACCTCTTTAAATACGTGGACTGTCAGATACTGATATTGCATGAGTCACCAAGAGGACTTAGCTTGTACTTATAGGGGTAGTTTGATTATTTTGAAGTGGCGTTGTATAAGGTGCTTACTGATACAGAAGCTAAGCAAGGTAGTACTGTGAATGGGGCAAAACATATTTTAGCCTCCTAAAAAAAAGTCCTACCTCAAAAAAATTAATATCAGTTTAAGTGTATGCTATATTTAGAGTGTTTTTAATGCTTCACCTTTCCAATGGGGAAGCTCTCAACGTCTTCAGCTGTGTTGTGCTCTTGTCAAAGCCTCCTGTCTCCATAGACAAAAACAGTGATTTCAGCTCACCAAGCACTGGAGCTGCTGGTCTGTTATTGCCTCGATGAGTGTGGGACTTTGGTGAGTCCGAATTAACCCTTTTAAATGCCAAAATTGCACACTAACTTAAGTAAACTAACTGATCAGTGCAGTGATAGTCCACTAGCTCCCCTGTTCAGCCATTTAAATGACTCATTTTCTCAATGGATTCTAGCTTTGAAAAGATTGAAAACTGTTTTTTGGCAAGGTTAGGTGGTGGTTAAGTATAGTGTAGGGGTGGGCGATAAATCGAATATACTCGATGTATCGCAGCTTGTTCCTCGTGCAAGATATAAAACATCGAGTAGACCTGCTCACATTGTTTTGTTAAGCCACCGGCATGAGACTTGCTACTACTGTGGCTCTCTCCCTCTCTCAGGCGCACACGCTAAAAGAAAGACTCCCGAATATGATGTGTCTCCAACACACTACTATATAGTAACTTTTTTTTTTTTTTTTAAAGATATTTTTTAGGGCATTTTGCCTTTATTGGACAGGACAGGTAAGTGTGAAGGGGGGAGAGAGAGAGAGAGAGAGGGGATGACATGCAGCAAAGGTCCACAGGCTGGACTCGAACCCAGGCCACTGCGGCAACAGCCCTGCACATGGGGCGCCCACTCCACCACCAAGCCACCGACGCCCCAATATATAGTCACATTTTGCTACCATGGAGCACCAGAGCGACTTGCCAACATTAATAATACATGGACTGGAGAGCTGTTAGTTGGTTTCCAGCTTACAGTGAATAAATTCTCACGTTTAAAGGTGCAGTGTCAACAGTTAAACCTCGTGCTAACTGCTAACATCTGACTATTGATCGGAAGCTTTAAATCCACGGCAAAACCATCAACACATCCAGCCCGAGATGAGCTGGGTGCTCCAAAACAAAAGCACCAGTGGTTCCACTTCGATTTATTTACTTACAACAACACTTTATTCAACTTTATTATAACAGTACTTTACTTAACTTTATCGTAACTGTAGTTCATTCAATAACTTTGTATTTTAGTAGTCCACAGTGCTTTAGAGAAGATTTAAAAATTTCTCAACATATATTGTGTATCGTATTTTGCCCAGATTTAATACAATGTACAAATTAAACTGATATTGATTTTTTGGCATGCCAACTGACATCTACTGTATGTAGTACACTGAGTATGGATAATTACCTCATACAAACCCACTTCAAAAGAACTGAACTATCCCTTTAATAGTTGAGGCCACTTTTGTGCCTAATTTGGTAATTATGTGACACTGCTACCTAATCTCCTTCACAGTGAGACACTACACGCAACTGTTTGTGCTACTATGAGACACAAGAACAGGCCATTTATTTTACAGTCTAAAAGTACATCTGGTGATTGCTACAGCACATTGCATAACAAGCAAACTACAATAATTGTTGTCTCAAAATATGTTTTATTTAAATTCAAAATCAAACATTAAACAAACAACTTTTCATAAAGTATAAACTAATCGAGGATCTCAATGAACCATCTTAGTTTAGGGAACTTTGCTTTTACGTCCTTGATAAAATGTCTTTAGTGACACCATACCTAACTGATTCTATTTTGAAAACTGACTTCTGTCTGAAACTAAATTGATATGCTGTAGTATTTAAGCTCCCGATTGATGGAAGGAGAGATTTTTTTTCTTTTTGTAAATGTATAGAAATCTGAGTGACAGTAAAGCTGGAGCGCCCCAGCCTGCAGCTTGTAAGAAGGTTCTATAAACTGCCTTATAGTGATCCTGTGCTCTGTAGCTTCATGAATAGTCTCATTTGGATTTCTATAACTTCGTAACGTGAGCAGAATTCTCATACCTACAGAAACTGATGTATAACCCAGATTCATCACACAGTACAGTTTGTCAGCATATACACTTTAAAGTGAAGATACCGAAGTCTTTGTAAGGCAGGTTTCATGATTACTTTGTCCTTTGAAGTAAATGTTTTGTTTTTTAAAGAGAGTCCAGTCTATGACCCATACTACATATACGTTTATATAAACCTTTATGTATTTAAGAATCTCACCACTGAAATTTCCCTCTCAAGGTTAGGCATTATCTGGGGCTAATGGTGCTTGTGGTTGCTGATGAGCATGCAGTGTGGACTAAATGAGAATATGTTGCATTGGAAATGTAAATGGTGACGAATGTAGGAGTGGTGCATTTTGGGCATGTTGGGGTATCTTGTTTTGCTGTGGTGCCTTCACTGTTAATGTGACTCAATCTTTCTCGACCATGCATTGTAAGATTGCAGTTTTGGGGCTTTGGAATGGTTACGTGTACATTCATCTCAGTTTCCTGTTTTTTTCCCCTAAATGGCATTGTAAGGTCCTAATAGAACATTTGACAAGACAGTGGTGTTTGATAATACTTCTACAGGATGATCCTGTAAACTTCTATTTCATTGCAGCTTCAGAAATATAAGTGTTACATTCGTGAATGTCACCAGCTCCCTCATGCCTACCTAATACTGAAATTTGTATATATAGATTTGGACAGGCCTCTTTTTTTCATAACATAGTATGCATGCATAAGAGGCTTTGGAGCTGGACGTTAAAATCGCCAAATTTTAATATCTGCCAATATTTTGTGGCCTTTTTCTCAATCCAGGGTTCCTACGCAAGTATGGAAAGTATGGAAAAGTATGGAAATAAATTTGATCAATTTCCAGGTATTAAAAAGTATGGAAAATGAAAAATAAAGGATGGAAAAATATTTATGTTTCCAGACTCTTACCACTGTTCTAAAATACTGTTTTCTAAAATAGAAAATTAGGTATTTCCAAAAATAATTTAATCAATCCGGATCGTGTTTTATGCCAGGCCAGGCACATTTTGTGTGAGAGCAAACGTCTCAGAAAACATACAGCCCCTTATACCTGATTGAGAAGTGGTATGACCAGTCCGCTACATGCTGCACTATGTAGAGGAGAGGAGAGAGCTCTGTCTTACCTCTTCATAAACTAAAGTCATATTATTTTGCGCGACAGACGCTTCATATAATAACATAACAATATAGGCCTACTATTTATGGTGTTATGTCATCGTGTCATTTCTGTCTCTACATGGTCACGCGTTAACAATTCTCCTCTGCTCTCTGTATCGCGCGTGGCGGAGTTCCGCCACACACACAGGCGAGCACGCTAGAGCGGCTCGGGCCTGACCAAACCTGACCCCGAGCCCGGTGCAGTTTGTCAGCTGACAAAGTTATTGTTATGGACACTGTGTAAATAACAAGCAACAAAAGCACAAACAAACACGCTGCTCGCACAGCAGCGCAGCACGGCACTCTTGGTGCTGAGCTTGTGTTGCGTTAAGGCGTTGTCACGTAAATAACAACTTCCAGCATTTAAATAGGTCATAACACAAAACAGCAGCATGTCATGTGACTTTTTACTTTTATTATATTCAATAAAATTTTATTTTCCTAAATCTTGAGACACCTCATATGTAAGCTAGACAGACATTTCACCTGCTCATTACTGTGCACAAATGTACTGTATGTACTTAGTCCTAAAGAGCCCTTCTGGTGCCAGTAGATACAAAGAAACATCCCAGCAGGCTGTGCTTTGCAAGCATACAAAAAAGTTTCACGCATGTGAAAATTATTTTTCAAGCGTGTGCTTCACCTCAGCTGCTACAACTCCATCCTAGGGGAAACACTGCTGTGTGCATTTTGTGCAACAGGTGGATGTGGTAGTCTACTGGTAGAGTAGAGAGAGAGCTAAGTAGCATTGAAGTAGAGTAGAGCAGGGCAGAGAGATGGAAGCAAAATATATTAAACCCAGTGTTAATACAGCAGAACTGGAGAGAGGGGTGAAAAATATATAGAGGTGGGCATGGCTCAAGTAGGGCGCAAAATTATAGACGGAGAACGATTGACAAAGATTGCCAACCTTTTTGCCTCAGCCCAAACATTGAACTTACCTGAGTTTTTATTTGCATGCCATTATGGTACTTGGCTACAATCGCCTATTAAGAATAATTAAATATGATGTGAAATATGATACACTGATATATTTACTCAGATGTCGCATATTCTCTTAAAAAAAAAAAAAAAAAAAAAAAAGCAGAGAAGTCTGGAAATTAGGGAATGAAAAAGTATGGAATTTTGAAATTCCAAATGTGTAGGAACCCTGTCAATCAAGCAGGGGCTTTGGTGCCCCGACAAAAGCACTCTATTTTTTCCTGCAAAAAAAGAGAACAACATTTAGTCTCTTGAATAGTTTTTTGTATGTATATTCATCATTCGTGCATGTGAAAGTACCACAGAAGGCTATTTCTATAAAGCTATCTGGCTTCAAATGATTAGCAATATGAGAAAAGGCTTACTGTTACTTTGTTTATTCTTGTTGAATATTTCTTTCAAAGGAAAGTCAAAGCTTTTTTCTCCTCACTGTCTTTTTTTAGTTAGAATTGTACATTGACCCTGTTCATTTGAATATGAACTGTGTTTCAATGGAATACAGCTCTGCTTTTGTAGGAGTGTGTCTACGGACGTCCTTGACCATCAGCTTTGCATGAACAGTTGTCTTTCTCTCTCCCAACTCATTTCTTGTTCTTTCTTTTTTTTTTGCTATAAATGTGTACCAACATCATTAAAACTGCCACAATCCCTTTTACACTAATTGCTTATTTCTCTAAAATTGACTTTGCCCACTTTAAATGAATGTTTTTTTGTTAATGTCGAACGTTCTGTGTCTCAGATGAAGGAGGCACAGATGATGGCAGGGTCTTGCAAGGGGGATTGTCCAGTGTTACTATTATAGTTTTAGTCAAATACTGATGTGACCACCAATGTGCCACCTCCTTCTTTTATGGGGGGCTGACAATATGATCATATGACATTATTTAGGCCCTTTCTTATCATTTCGATGAATGTTCATGCAATCAGTTATTTTTTAATTTCCATCCATGAAAAAGGGTGATAATGGCCTTTAGTTTATTTAAACTGTAGGATCACAGATGCTTAATATCAGATCTCACTAGGTAGTAATACCTCAGTACTATTCAAATTGATTGTAAGTTGGGGTCTGAACTTGTGGTGTTACATTGTAGTGAAAATACAAACTTTTTGTTTACGAAACTGCGTGTCCCCCTCAAGCTCCTCCCTGACAATTTTCTGTGCACACTCAAGATAGTGTCTGTTATTTTTGGTCAAGCTGCTCTTAAACAAGTTTCAAAAATGTGTAGCCAATGTTGTAGGCATCAACATCCGTGGAGTTACCTCAGTATGACTCATTTCAAGGTGTCGGCTGCAGTATTCAGGTAAAAATATTTCCCAGTGTTTGACAGTGACATTCCGTATTCACTGGAGAGCAAAGGAAATGTGGATACACAGTACGATTAGAAAGTAGTATGTGCGTGATCAGGTGCTGGCACGCGTGAAACGGACTTTATGACTGTCATAAACTCTTGGTGAAGGGATGGAGAGGGGAAATCAAGCATCAAATGGCCAAGGACTTGGAGAGTTTGAGAGTGACAATAAAAGAAATGGAAAGGGAGATTAGAAGAGATGGAAGGAGGGGGAGTGAATGGGAGGGGGTGAAAACAGGAGAGAAAGAAAGAGGTTGAAAACAAGGAGCTCAGTGTGTCCTGTAACTTCCTGCAATCAAAATACATTTCCTCGGAAACATGTAGCAGAGAAAGAAGAGCTCAGCCACAGTATAGAATACGTTTACTCAGCTGAGAGACACCCCCCTACTGTGAAACAAGCCCCACAGTTGCAGTAATAAAAAAGACTCCTGCTACCTGCCACTATTGACAGATAACAAGGTTAAACTCTAAGAATGGTGCTGACTGCATGGGCTCAAGGTAGCTCTGCCACACAAAGTTGACACCTGAAGCCCAATGTTAATGGCAGCTGATTGATATCACCTCAGGGAGGGGAGACTCTGTGCAGCCTCTTTGTCCACAGCAGCCACCGTTACATTTAGGGGATGAATCTGTGAATCTGTACCAGTCAGTCAGTCACAGGGACAATCATATGTTACATGGTTAATCATTTAATAAATCCCCCGTGTTAAAATCAACATGTTAACTCATCAACTCCACAGTTGTTGTTGCCATGTATTGTATGCCACATTGCTTGACAAATTCCTGTTTTCATTTATCCGTGTTTTCACATCCATCTCATTCATAATTTGAAAATTGCTTGAAAATTGCAGCTACCGAACAGACATTATCTTCAGTGTGTGTCCATATTTATAAAGATTCTCTTGTTGGCTTTAAAAAAATTTGTTGTATAGTGTGTTTGTGATGTCACACAAGTTGCGCTAATGCCTCAACGTGTAATGGAGAGAAATCTCTGGCCTACTAATGATTGTGCTGTTTGTGTCTTTTTGCACATTAACCTTCTCCGCTGATCGCTGCATGCAGATAACTGGGAGCAAAGTTGCGGTAAGTAGCCCATTATTTATTTGGCTTCTGAATCTTGTTCCTTCTGTGTATCTGTCTTTATTCACCCCCTAAACACACATACACACACACACACACACACACACACACACACACACACACGTTTATCTTGTTTTGGAAAGATGTCGAGGAGCATGTTCCAAACTATGCAAGTGAGGTCATTTTTATGGCTTGGATTTTTATTTTCTGCCCGATATTGCTAATGGGCTGTAATTTGGAAAGGCTATAAATTGCCAACACAATTCCTGCATGTAAATGGTAGCACTTTCAAATGAGGGATTTCGAAATTATACAGCCTGAAAATGAAGTGGGAGGCCTTTTGTTGGTTTTTGCTGGTCCTCCTTTGAAATAGATTACTGTGTAACACCTATTAGCATTTGAATATTGTGATACCAACAAAGAGCAATAGCTTTTACACAAATACTCATAATCTGCCATCAAATCTGTTCATCAGAGCATGTTGCACTTAAATGGTTTTAACTGTGTTCACTCTGTCTGCAAGACACAACTCACACTGAGAGTATATACTATATCACTTAATAAGGCTTTGAACACACACAAACTGTACACACACACACACACACACACACACACTGAACCTTGTGAACCATGGAGAAGAAATCAAGTACATCTTTTCTGCCTTGAATGAAATATTGGACTATATTAGCTTTGGAGAAGTCTTCATAGCTATATATTTGAATTTGCTGTCAACAACTTAAGGCAAATTAAGGCAAAAGAGTCTTGTTCTTGTTGTGGATGTCGTCTCATTTTACCCACTCCTACTGTACAAAAAGGCATTCATAATCTTAACAAATTCAATTTAAGCTATCAATGTATTAGTTATACTTTTTAATTTCTCCTTGCGGTAATATTCCAATTACCTTTTACTCTCTCAAGATCCCATAAAGTGGGACCCTGTTGCCTTTTCTAAAGAATGGGTTCTGGCTTTTTTTTAAGGTGCTAGAGAAAGAGATAGAGAAACACTCTGTTATTGGTTTAGCAAGTGTTGAATTGTCACTTTAAATGGTGTTTCACTGCCTTTTGAGAGCTTCGTAAGGATTAAGAGGACTGTAAAGCTTAACGTGAATGCAGGCAAGGCAAAGCAGCACACTGTGACCTGGCCTCTGCTCTGCCCATGCTCTCAGACAGACCTCACTCTTTGAGGCATTTTACAGAGACATTTTGTATCGATTGCATTCTCTCCTTCTTTGTCAAACTGTTCTTTTGTGCTTGGTTATTTCTGTAAGAAGAGTGGGTTTTGGGCCTGGCTGGTATGGACGTGGAAGGAGTAGCTCTCGATCAGGAGCAATGGCCACATTGTGCTCAGTAAATGGAATATGACAGAATTACCCCACCTCCTATCATGACTGCTCATCCGAGATGTGGAGGAGGCCTAATTTTAGAAGTTCTGCGAACCATGTCAAAAGATGCCAGAAACCCTGGTTATCAAGAAGTTTCTTCAAACTCGAGAGCATGCTGAAGCATTTGACCTGACCTTCATAGCCTCTGTGTCAATCCTACAACAGTAGCCTACAGATATGGCTAACATACTGAAAGCAATGAGCTGTCATTCTTAAAAGCCCCCCTGAAAGTGGAAAACAAGGGAGAGCGTTTAGCCTGGTTAGCCGATTTTGGGCTACAGTTAGCTCCCTGCTTTGCTGGCAGATTCCCATTTTCACGCTGTCAGCGTGTGTCGGTGGGATAGAGTGCTCTCAGATGTGCTGGAAGGACACTGTTGGTTTGGATTGTCTATAGGGAAAACGTAACTGTAATTCCTCTGTCTCAGGCATGAAATCTCTCTGGCACTTTCCCCTCTCCCAGTAGAGAATGAGGTGGGAATAGAGGACTGTGTGAATTGGCTCTAATCCAGTCTGACCAGCGTGAAAGTGTGCAACACTGCTAAGTCTCATATGCTCTCTTCACCTCCTTAAGCAAGATTGAGGGAAATATGAGCAGCACACATACCTGGGTAACAGCATGCCTGCAGGTAGACTCGAACAGTCCAGATGGACCAGACACCTCTTCTTCTGCAGTGTGCTGCAGGAGCTTATTGACCACTACGACGGCTTTATAGCGTCAGTCTCTGTAAAGATTGGCCTGATTTACGTCACAAGTCAAGGACCACGTTGTAACAATTCATCAATGACTCCTGCAGTGTTACTGTGAAAGTAGACTTCCGTCTCTCTGCACTGCCATTGACAGGCTCTGCAGCTCAGATGGAATGCTGCTGAGACTATGAGACCGAGAGCAAGGAAAAGGGTGTGTTCTCTGTGTGTTGAAAAGCAGCAATCTCCAGACCACAGGGAGGTGATCAATATCTGTATGACTGGACAGATGACTGCTTATTTCCATGGTAACATGCTGGTCAGCTCTGAGATGTCAGGCGGTGATGGTTAGTGCAGTTGTGTAAACATGTATATCTCTGCGATAGTTGTCAGTATGTGGATTGACCGAAGAACCAAACACACCTCAGACCTGAGAGAAAAGATCAAATGAGGATGTATTGGCTGATCTCTCTACTCAAGCTGATCGTCTTATAGATAAAGTGTTGTACTTTTCTGCAGCATTATTAAGTTGACTTGTTCTTAACATCAGCCTTTTTTCCTGGGTGTATGGCTGTGCGAATGTTCTCTCCCAATTTAAAACTGGCTTATGACAATACAGAGTTCAGGTGTGAAATGTGGCGGTTATCGTAAGAAAATCATCATTTATGAAATGACATCTTAAACTAGGATTTGTTTGTCATTGAATGACATGTTTGTCATTTCAAATTAAAAGATGTTTTTGTGTGTTTTACAAGCAAAGCATTGGACAGTCCTTGAACCTTGCAATGTTTTTCTCATTGTGGAGTTGAGATGAAGAATTTCATTTACCTGCAACGAATGTGAGGAATTTGTATCCCTCTTACTTTGTTTTTTTCTGTTTACTCTAGTATATATATATATATATATATATATATATATATATATATATATATTCACAAGCAATTCTGCAGGCACCACTTATTTTTTAATTATTAATTCAGGCCTTGAAATTCCGTGTACATATGCACGGTAGAGCATGTAAAATTTGAGCCGTGCATGTGAATCTCAGCTCTACATACCTTGGTGCACAAAACAGCTGACAACTTACATTGACCGCAAGATTGATTAGGATGCTGCAGTTGACAGTTTTCATACGCTCTCAGCCATAGGCTTTGCACACAACACGTACATTTTCTCCCATAATGAAAAACACATTTATAAGTGATAATGTTGTGGAGCAAAAAGAGGACACCAACAGTGCACAGACAGACCAGACTAAGCAGCACAGCGCAACAGCTGCGCCATAAACACTGTGGTCAAGCCATCCGCAGCCGCCACATTGCAATAAAGATACCCAGTGGTGTCTTCTCACTCAGTTTGACCTGTTGTTGGCAGTGGGAGGATGGATAGCTCACCTTCCAGCCCTTCATTTGACTGCTGGGCGCTGATTTAGGGATGACTTAGGATGATCAATAAATGACATAACACAAAGCTGATGTTGTTTTAGTACCTTCTTTCTGACTCGCCAGTATTAGAGAAAATTATGATTAATACATTGTACTGAGTTGGTCTCGTGTAGTGCATGTAAATATATAAATACACACACACACACACACGCACATGCACACACATATCTGTCGAAAACTAGGAAAAACTTACATTTGAGAAACTACTTTCATAATTATAATATATCACTGAAATATTGGCAATAACATGAATGACATTGGTATGCGTTTCTCTGGCTACCTGTGCTCTCGTTCTCTATTTGTAACTGCTGATGATTTACAGAATGCAGGATTACCAGTTAACGAGTAGTTATAGGTAAGGCCAGAGGATTGCAAAGCATCCAGATGGGAAACGAGGGAGACAGAAAGAGAGAGTTGCATGGATATGAGGACATGCAGACATCTGGCTCCTCTTTAACTCCAATCAAGTGCTCGTTCACTATGCCAGGAGTGCTTACGAAGGACCTTTAAAAAAAAAAAAAAAAAAAAAGAGAGAGAGAGAGAGAAAAAGAAATATGGTGAGCCTGAAAGGAAATCAAGGCGCCCTCTCTCCTTCATTCCCCTCTTTACCTTTTAAAACCACATGCCTCAAAAGACTGTTTTGTTTCAAGCAAGCTATTAAACTGGGTGCTGAGGGTTGAGCAGATTTGATGTGGCACATGTCCTTGGTGCTTTAAAAGAACGGCAATGAAAAATTAATCAATAGCGTGTGCCTCCCATGCCCTGAGCCAGTGTTCACCATAGATTCTATCTTAAATTAAGATCAAGGAAACATGCTCCCGAGGGGACTGTTTGAATAAGATGTTTCTTTGATTGGCTGAAAGCATATTTTAGAGTTCTACCAGTTCATCTGATGGACATAAAAAGTTGTCTGGGAGTGAGATGAGGAAAGATTTATTTATTTGATTTATTTGAATAGCGTATCCACAAATCTGTAGACAGGTGTTTTTTTAATAGATGTCAAATATTTGCTGCTTCATCTGTTCAGCTGCTTTTTTCTTCTTCAGTGATAGTCATAGGGAAATTCTATTTCCAGGTTCCTTCCTTTAGAGGGAGGTTTGAGTGTGGTCATGTGTAGAATAGCACTTATATGCTCTTGCTGCTAGAATACGTAATACCAAAAGTATGAGCATCTGCACATCAAAACATTGCTCTGAAGTACCACTAGTGGTCCAGAACTCTAGAGATTTAGAAACACAAGCTTTTGGTTGGACTAATACAAGTGTATGAGATGATGTAGATTCAATTTTAAGGTTTTGGAAAGCTTTTGGAGCTTTTGGAGGTTTGCCGATTTTTGCGTCAATCGATATAGTTCTTGCCAGAGTCTGCATTTCCCAAATCTCTGCAACAGAGGTGCAAAGTAAAGTGTTTTGAGTGTACTTGTTTTTTATGCCGTCTGTAAAAAAAGATGTGGCAATCAGATCATACGTATTCAAATTTTAAAGTAACATAA